TTTTTGGTCGAAAACCGATTTGGTCGAGAACAGAGACGTTCGAAAACCGAAGTTTGACTGTAGTTTTTTAAAACTGTATGACGTACTATCACGACATTCACACGGTGACTGCTGAGCGAACTAAATTTCCCGCAGCACTGATTGGATAAGCAATATAAAGTGATCATCTGCAGGCAGTGATGGCCAAGCGGGCGTGTCATAACTAAGTGACATGTTGAGGCAGGTGTGTCTTAACCTCCATGGCAGAGGCTCTGTCGAACCCCTGAGACAGATTTACCGAACCCCTGGGGTTCGATCGAACCCAGGTTAAGAACCACTGCCTTAGAGTTTGCACTGTGTTAATATTGTACAGGCATTTGTATCAGTGCTTGTGTGTTCTGTTGTCATCTTATTGGAATCTCACACTATCACAACTGTGGCTGCATGCTCTTGTAAGTCCTCCATTCTAAAGCGCATCTGTCCTCTGTTTGTTGAAGGTTTGTGTGAGTTTTGATGTTTGATTGTGTGAGCAAAATAGATTTAGGAATGCCAGGCTAAGATTTGCGCATGAGAACACGTGGGGGTGTTTGCAAGGCCAAACAAACATTTCCAAGTGAGTAAGGCAGGGTTTTATTTTTGTTTTTGTTTTTCAAAGCCAAATTACTTTTCATTCCTGAGACAGGCAAAATGTTCCAACGCAGGTTTTTCTTGGCTGGTGTTGAAGGCCGTTGAAACGTGACCCAGGTCAAGTGGATTGGTAGGATTTATTCTGACACGCACTGTCATGTCTATATTTTCTGTCTGGGACCATGTTTGCTCAAGAACAGCGGACAAAATTCAACATGCACGATCCGCAAACATTGTAGAATAACAACACGCATACTTTCCACAACACCTGCTTGGCACTGAATTGCCACATACAAAGCTGTGTTGTCTACCAATCATTGATGTTGTATACCCTAACAACACACCCATTTTGCCCAAAGTCAGTTGGCAGGATAGGCTTTAGTTGGGGTAGGCTCCAGTTAGGATAGGCTCCCTTGAAACAAATAGTATTGAGAATGCATCTAAGGATTGTTGACTGCGGCCAGTTGGAATGCAGATGCAATTTTCTAAAACTATATGAAGGGGGTTTCCTGGCTCAAACTGAGGCAGAGATGGTTCCATTCTGATCATTCGAGTCCCGTGGCTGAAATAACTCGTGAAGGCCACGCTTCTCGTAGAATGAGAAGCAATCTTTGTCGGCAGACACACAGAGGGGTGGAGGGCGGGCTCCAAGTGCACACTTCATAGCTGCCAGCTTTACATCATCCCCCATTGGAGATCATGCACTTCCTTCTCAACTTACTTTGCGCGCATTGATCTCCTGCATTGACTCCAGCAAGTTAATTATGCTACTGCCATGGTGGCCATGCACCTCTTTTGCACTGAATTTAAAGAAATGAGAGCCTGTGTTCACCCCCACAAATGCGCTAACGCCCATTTCTACCTGAGTGTTTCCATGAAAATAGGAAAAGAAAGAAAACTTCACCCATGCGTACAGTTCGACCACACTGCTCTAGACTTGCGCTGGGCACGAAAATAGGGTCCCCGCATTGTAAATCCAGCCTATGCCTCCATTTCTCATTCGCCAGTCTTCCACTGCACTTTATGATTTCTCTGTGTCTCATTGCTTTAATGGTTGATTTCAAAACATCAGACAGTACCATCGCTTTCTTCTCTCTCATAACGATGCACTAGAGTGATACTAATGAGTGGTCCTCACATTCCCAGTTGGTGTGTCCTCTTCTGTTCTCTCTTCTCTTCAGACTTTATCTGTCGAAGCACCGGCAAGGAAAAAAAAAAGATTCTTATGCTCCTTGTACAAAAATCCCTGAGGGTGATTCTAAAGGAATGCTTGTGTGACTTTTCTCACCAGCTTTTAGATGTGCTGGATGAAAATATTTAAGAGGCACGAGTGTTTCTCTTGAGTTGGCAATCTGGGGCAAATGTCACCACAGGATAGATGATGCCGTGGAGGAAGCGGTGTAGGTGGCTGGGTTGCGAGTGTTCGTGTGTGGGTGTTGTGTCTTTGTCGGTGCCTATTGGTGTATGTGCGGGTGGCTTATCGGATGTCTGCTCGGAAAAAGTTATGACACTATGATGGTCATAAGCCTTGCATACTCACCCCCAATCCTATTTTGGGACTTTCAATATGATTGTTATCTGCAGGGAAAATAAAAAGTCAATTAGCCAGTAAAAATCTGTGTGTGATTCACGCAGTTGTGTCACTATAATTGCCCACATAACATAATAATTGGGGGACTGACTGGCATATTTGAGACTAATTAATGAGCAAACCGTCTTAGGGTTAATGATTCATTCTACAGAAACCACAAACACTGAGCTCATTTTGAACTAGAATGGCTCTGGGTAGAACACAGACTGCCATCAAGATTCATTAATTCACAGAGGAAATATACAGTATCTGAAATCTATCCCACCGAGACATCCAGGGCCTTTTGCTTGCTGCTACAACGAGGCGCACAGCATGAAGCCCATGTCTACTAGCTGTCTGTTCATGTAGGACTTAAAAATTTTTTTTTCTCTTTTGGTCTTCTGGCTTTGTCTATGTGAGGTGCACACACTCACAGCCAACAACACGGCTCTCTAAAACGACCATTCCAGTGGACTATCTCATGGGAAGATGTGCACTTTCAGGGTTCGGCACAGCTAGCTAGCAAGCTAATTTCAGGTCGCAATTGTGCCAGATAAATGTGAGCCAAGGCATTCATGTTCTTAAAGTTTGATACACTTCTAATGCTACATCATTCTCAGTCTTTGCTAATGTTTTAGGCAATTCCCGTGAAACATGTATAGTATATTTAGAAAAAAATCTCAGAATTAACTTAATAGAGCCTTAGTGTCTGTAACCACGGTCACACCTAAAAGTTGTAAAAAGACTCAATGAAGACGCCCATGGTCTGATTACTGTTACTTGTGGTGTATGTGCTTCATCTTTGTCTTCTCTTCGCTCATGAATTGAATTTCATTGGTGTACGCTGGGACTTGTGTGACATTTTTGAAAAAGCCATAGAAGCAGAAACACACACACACACACACACACACACACACACACACACACACACACACACACACACACTATATCCCACTGTGAGATC